TGAGAAAATTTAGGTTGATTCTACGCTACAAATTACACGTTTTTTCCGAGTAAAGTTTTTCCATGCGAGTAGATGGTACCAAAATAATAATTCTCGAAAAAAAGTGTTTTTTTTTCTTTCAAACGTCTGTAACTTTTAAGCTAATTATGAAAAAACATCCTGTTACCTCGCATTCGAAAGCTCTTCGAACAAGCTTCGAAATACTCCTTTTAGATTTATCGTGGAAATTTTTCCCATAAAAATGTTCGGACTTAAAAGTGGGCAAAAAATTTTTGATTTTTTACTTACCTTTATGTCTTGATAAAACATGGAAAAAATTATTAATCGATTCGGGAGGACATGTATCTTAAAGTACTCGCCAGAACCTACAAAATGAGCTCCCGGAGGCTTCGATAGGGTGAATACTTCCTTAGTAACAAAACTTTTAATTTTATGTAATTTTTTCTCTGGGTGGGCAAATAAATATGGACGGCAGTGTAGATTTTCAGCCAGATAAAAACTATGTCAGGAAAATTAGACAGAGCGGTTACGAAGGCAATGGTTGAAATAAAATTGGAGTAAAATTGCGAAAATTCGAAATTTGTAAATTGCCACACAAAAAATCTGAGATTTATAATTCCGAAATTGGACTGGCAAAAGCTAGCGAAGTTAAAATTAGTGAACCTGAAATCTGTACATCCGAAATTAGAAATTCGAATATTGAAAATTGTAAAAAATCAGAAATTAGAAAAAACCGTAGTACGTACTCAGTTTGTAATTTAGCATTAGCTAATAAAGAATACGGAAGTGCACGCCCAAGTTCCGCGAAAGCTAATTCATTATTTATTCAGAATAATATAACAAGTAGAGCTTAGCAAAGCCATAATGAAATCACGCTCCATAAAAATTTCGTAGGTGATAAAATTCACCCCACGAAATTCTCAATGACAGAAAATAAATTGAGTATACAGTCATACTATAAGTCGAAAATTGGAGAAAGTAGTAGCAATGATCGCAAAAAGGTAGATTGTTACGGTAATGCTGACGAAACTACCCTATTGGAAAGGGTTAATAAAGGTATTAATGTATTAAATAATACGAATTCTTACACAAGTAATAAACCATATTCGATGAGTCACTTTTTATCAGTAATTAATTCTGCAACCACCCTCCTCGAAACATTGGACAAAATCAGAGATAAAGAATACATTAAAGAATTAGAGGAAGTGGCACAAATAGCCAAAAAATATAAAACTATAAGCCACCTTCAAAGGTCCAACAACGAATAGTTTTACAACTTTTGGTCGCCGTAAAGTTTTTATTGAATGGGAAGACACGAATACCTCCTACTATCAACGAACACGTGCGGATAGCCAAAATAAGTATGAATCAGAATACGGAAGATAGGGCATCAAGAATAATCGGCATGTCACAACTAGATCATTCGAATTTCAATGAAAAGGAACATATAGTTGATATAATAAATAAATTCAACGACGGATATCACTTACCTGGAGACAAATTAAGATATACTAATCTACTCCAACACGAAATTCCATTAACATCGAAGGTACCTATTCGCATAAAATCTTTTAGATAACCCCCGGAGTTAAGGAAAAAAATTTATGCTCAAGTTTTAAATATGCTCGACCAAGGTATAATTGAAAGGTCTTTTAGTCCTTACTCGTCTCCAATATTTTGCGTAGACAAGAAAAGGAATGCTGAAGGCATAATCAATAAAAGACCAGTAATAGACTTCCGCGCAGTAAATACACTGATTCCGGATTACAATTTTCTAGTGCCGAATGTAGACGATTAGTTAGATGCGTTAGGAGGATCCACAATATACTCGGTCTTTGATCTTTATTCAGGATATCATCAATGCCTAGTTAAAAAGGAGGACAGGCAGGTGACAGCATTTCAATGCGACCAAGGCCTTTTCCAGTTTACAAGGTCGCCTTTCCGATTAAAAACAAGCGCGCCCGTCTTTCTATCATTAATTCACCTTTTAACGACAGGAATGAAAGGAGTAGTAACCTTCTTCGATGATATTTGCGTACATAGTAAAACTATTGAGGAACACTATGAGAGCATCATTGAATTAATGGAACGTCTAAGAAAAGCGAATTTAGTATTAAATCCGGAAAAATGCGAGTATTTTAAATCAGTGTAGTATACCTAGGTTATGTAATCTCGGAAGACGGTTTACCACCTCACAATGATAAAATTTTAGCCGTCCAACAATTTCCCACGCCGAGAAATCCAAGAAATATTAAACAATTTATCGGCCTGTGTAGTTACGAGCGTGGTCCGATAAGTACTTAGCCTCACCGCCCGATGGCGCCACTCTCGCAAAAGAAATATTCTATCACATAGTACAACCTTCTCGATGGTTACTGTCAAGATTTCAGCCGGATCGAAGTTGTAGTTTATTTTTTAAAGCGTGTGAAAGCAAGTGTGTCCGTTGATTTTTGAAAAATGGAAAAAGAGCAGTATCGGTCGGTGATTCGATTCTTGATTTTGGAAGGGAAATCGCGCAGCGAAATCAAAAAACGCTTGGATGCTGTATACGGTGACTCTTCTCTTTCGATGGCGACCGTTAAAAATTGGTTTAACGAGTTTCAACGTGGTCGCACGTCGATTTTTGAAGAGCCACGTCCAGGTGCTCCGAAAACGACTACCACGGAGGATAACGTGACAAAAATTCACGATCTCGTATTGGCAGATCGACGATTGAAGGTGCGCGAGATAGCTAAGATCGTAGACATCTCAAAAGACCGCGTGGGTCATGTCCTGCATGAAATTTTGGGCACGAGAAAGCTGTCGGCGCGATGGGTGCCGCGTTTGCTCACTCCGGACAACAAGCGCATCCGTGAGACAACTTCAGAGCAATGGCTGACGCTGTTTAAGCGCAATCCGAAGAAGTTTCTGCGTCGTTTCGTGACAGTCGACGAAACATGGATTCACTGGTATACACCAGAGACCAAGGAACAGTCGAAACAGTGGACTTTACCCGGCGAAAGTGCTCCGAAGAAGGCGAAGACTGCCCCATCGGCCGCAAAGGTGATGGCCACCGTTTTCTGGGATTCAGAAGGTGTGATCGACATCGACTACCTGGAGAGGGGCAAAACGGTCACAGGGCTGTACTATGTCGAATTATTGGGTCGATTCGACGTCGAATTGCAGAAATAACGGCCCCATTTGGCGAGGAAAAAAATGCTCTTCCACCATGACAACGCACCGGCTCACACCTCCGCCGTCGCCATGGCCAAATTTGTCGAATTAGGCTACGAACTGCTGCTCCATCCACCGTATTCTCCAGATTTAGCCCCGTGCGTCTTCTTTTTGTTTCCAAACTTGAAAAAGTCACTCACCGGGCAGAAATTTGAGTCGAATGAGGAGGTAATCGCTGCCACGGAAGCTTACTTTTCAGACCTCGAGGAAACGTATTTTTCAGACGGGTTAAAGAAGTTGAAGCATCGCTGGGCCAAGTGAATCGAACTAAAAGGAGACTATGTTGAAAAATAAAACGCCACTTTTCCAAAATTTTCGTTTTTCTTTTTTAGGCTAAGTACTTATCGGACCACCTTCGTATACTACAGACGATTCATTGACAAATTTTCCGCCATCGCGCAACCCTTAAATAAACTATTAAGAAAAGATCAGCAGTTTATATGGGAAGAAGAGCAGCAGAAAGCCTTTGAACTGTTAAAACGCAAATTGTGTGAGCTACCTATATTGGTTCACCCAAACTTTGAAAAACCATTTATTTTAACAACAGATGCCTAGTGGATACTGTGTAAGATGCGTTTTATCTCAAAAACAAGATGCGGACGACTTTGATAAGCCAGTAGCTTATGCATCACGAGCGTTAAATGATGCAAAAAGACGTTACAGCACTTTCGAGAAAGAAATGTTAGCAATTATTTTCGGAATCCTTAAATTTCGACCGTACTTCTATGCAAAAAAAATTAACCGTCATTACTGATCATAAACCTCTAGTTGGATTAAGATCGCACAAAGATCCCAACTCACGAGTAACTAGAATGAGACTGAAGGTAGCAGATTTTCAATATGAAATTAAATATAAAGCCGAAGCTCCAAATATAAATGCAGATGTTTTATCACGTAACCCAATAGAATTACATACATTAGATCCGCAATTAATTCAAGAACCAATAAATATAGTAAAAGGATTAGAAGCAAATGATGATAAAGTACCGGAACCGGAAAGGATGATCACACGATCGCGCACTGGACGAAAGCCTAGCGCTAAATACGAAGAAGCTATAAGCGCACTGAAACCTAGTAAACAGAAAAAGAGACGAGACCAAAGTACCATTAAGGTAACAACACAACAAAAAGGAAAAGACAAGAGGTCAGAAACCCCTGAAAACACCAATAGCAACACACCATGCACGCAACAAGTCGAGAACCAAGTAACAGATGTACAAAGCGAGGGGACAGGTGTACCATTAAAAACTAGTTTAGAAACTATCAAAGAAGAAGACGAATACGAATCAAACGAAACTAAGATAGACGCAACAGAGAAGATCGTAAATAATAAGAATGAAATAGAAAACAAATTACCTCAAAGCAACATCATTTATTGTCGCGAAAAATTGTTTATGAGAAAAGATAATTATTTGTATTTTGTCAATGATAAAGGAGAACCTCTCGATGAAGGAGCTCGTCTTTTAAAGGAAGTAAATAAATTACCAAGAAATTTTTTTTTTTTTTTTTTTTTTTTTTTTTATTTAACGTCGCTCTATTTATGCTCCATCAGTGCTAATCAGCGACGGAGGCTTGCAATGTGTTTGAGAACAAAGCATATGAAACTTTTTTCAGTGGTGCTTGTATCAATCAGCAGGAACTGGGAATCGAACCCGGGCCTACCGGGTGCGAGTCCGTCGCCCTACCGACCGAGCCATTGCAGGCCTCTACCAAGAAATTAGAAATTAGAAAATTTAAAAGTAGAATATCCTAAACTAATTAAAGTTGGGAAAAGATATCATTTAGTAATGCCGCTAAGGTGCGAACAACGAGAAAGCACCGAGGATATAATTATTATGCTAGAAGCATTACTCATGAATTTAGGAAACATTATTGATGAAAACAAGATAGTCACCTTTAGCTCAACCAAAAGCGAAAGCATAGAGAACGTGTTATTCAGTAAAATTATCAACTGTATACGAGATAAGCTTGGAAAACTAGATGTCAAGATCATAGTATGCACCGGACAGGTAAAACATCCCTTACCTAATGAGAGAGCAGAGATATATATACAAGAAGCACATTGTTCAGCAGTCGGAGGACACACGGGAGTTAATATAACATTTAATCGTATTCGACTCAAGTCGAACTGGGAACATCTTAAAGAGGACGTACTTAGTTTTATACAACAATGTGTTGATTGCCAAACAAAAAAATTAGTACGTGAAAAAACTAAACAGAAGATGGTCGTCACCGATTCTCCGCCAGTACCATTTTTCATAACTACAATGGACATTGCCGGACCGATGCCAACAACTAAACTAAATAATCGTTAATGTTTAACATTTCAGTGCATGTTTACACGTTTCGCTATAGGTATTCCAATACCTGATCAAACGGCTATTACTATAGTAAATGTTTTTATTAAACGCGTAGTCTGTGTTTTCGGAGCACCAAAAGACTTGCTTACCGATTGCGGGCAAAATTTTTTGTCAAAATTAATGAAAAGAGTTGCAAAAAGATTTCGTATTAAACAATTTCGCACAAGCGCTTTTCATCCTGAATCAAACGGATTAAAAGAAAGACAACACTCCTCATAAACGAATATTTAAAAGTTTTTACAAATAAGTTTGAAGATTGGGATGAATTTGTAGCAATGGCAATGTTCAATTATAATACTAGCAGACATGAGGCTACGCATTATACTTCATATGAACTCATGTTTGCAAGAGTTGCACGAGTACCATCAGCAACTCCGCCAGAACCAGAAGATCTTCTGCCTACTTATGCCGATTATATGTCACAACTAATTAACCGTTTGAATGCTTTGCACCAAATTGCTCGTGAAAAAATTACACTTGCAAAAATTAAGTCAAAACATTATTACGACAAAAAAATCAATCCCAGAGAAGTTAAGGTAAACGATTATGTTTGGCTTTTAAGTGGCCCCGAACCAAAAAAATTCGATGACCAATATTCTGGTATCGGAAGTATGGCCCAACGGAAATATACGAATTGAAATTGGCAAAAATCGCAGCAAAATTGTACATACGAACCATTTACGCATATCGCATATAAGGCCAGCCGAATAATCGTTTCGCAAAATTTAATAAACAATCGCACAGATTGCATGTTCTGGTTAAGATCTATTAAGGAATAACTTACATTTATTGTTTGCAGATGATGAATCTTCTAATTTTCCTACTGCTCTTGGAACTTGTCACCAAGGCGACGGCTTTTATTGCTTATGATTGTGCGCAGAAGTTCGCAAATATTACATCTTTTTCTTTAGTAGATATTGCAGACTGCGAATTGCCATCATCAATCGTCAATTCTACGCGGATCGAAGTATCACTATTGCAACTCAATGAATATTCGTCGGTCCGAGTGCGCTATTGCAAAATAGAAATAGATAGGGACGCTAAGAGATGCGGCTATAATAATCATACGAGGTCTGTCCGGAAAGTATCGGGCCTACGTTTATATCTTCGCGCCATAGTGTTCGAGCGACCTCTACCGGACAGAAACGTCAACAGTAAAGCCTCACGAATCTATTGGTTACTTACCGACACCTGCCGGACGTATAGTTCATGCGCAGCGTGTCTTTGTTTACAGTGCTTTTTTCGCGTTCGTCGGATTTTGATATTGTCAAAAATGACTGAAAAACAAGATCAACGAATTTGCATCAAATTTTACTTTCAACTCGGAAAAATGATTTCGGAAACTATTGAAATGATGCAGAAGGCCTTCGAAAGCGAGTGTATGAGCAAAATACGAATAAAAGAGTGGTATAAACGGTTCAAGGATGGTCGCACTTCTGTCGATAGTGATTCTCGTTCCGGCCGACCTTCGACGACAAAAACCGCAGATAATATTGAGCGGGTGCGACTTGCAAGCGAACAAGATCGTCGTATGACTGTGCGAGAACTAGAAGAAGACCTTGGGATACCAAAAACTATCATTTCAGAAATTTTAACCGAAAATTTAGGAATGAAACGCGTGTGTGCGAAATTCATTCTAAAATTGCTCACAGCAGAGCAGAAGTTCATTCGCTTAGAAATCGCTCTGGACAATCTGGAAATGGTCAATAATGTTGATAATGTGCTTAGAAAAGTTATTACAGGTGATAAATCATGGGTTTATGGTTATGATCCTGAAACAAAACAACAATCTTCACAGTAGAAGCATTCTGAATCGCCAAGACCTAAAAAAGCACGTCAAAGTCGGAGCAATGATAAGTCAATGTTGATTGTTTTTTTCGATTGTGAAGGTGTTGTATATCACGAATATGCACCAACAGGTCAGACAATCAATAAAGAATACTACGTTCAAATTTTGAAACGTTTGCGTGATGCAGTAAGAAGAAAACGGCCGCACTTTTGGGAAAGTGATGACTGGCTTCTCATCACGATAATGCGCCAGCGCATTCATCCAATCTTGTGCAGCAGTTTTTGAACAAACACAATATCGCATTGCTTCGACAACCTTCATACAGTCCCGACATAGCCCCTTGTGACTTTTGGTGTTTCCAAAACTAAAAAAACCACTCAAAGGATACCGATTCGATGACAAAACAACGGTTGAAAACAATGCGACGAGTGTACTTAAGGCTATCCCTAAAAGTGAGTTCCAGGACTGTTTTGAAAAGTGAAAACATCGATGGAACCGTGTTATTCAATCAAATGGGGATTACTTTGAAGGATGTCGCCCACCAGATGATAAAGAATAACGCTAGCACGAAAATATAAAGGTAGGCCCGATACTTTCCGGACAAACCTCGTAATATGGAAGTTGAATTAGGAAGAAAGAATACCTACGCGAAACATCAAGATACGAATGTGAAAGAATACACGTACAAAGATCAATATCTATAGGAGATCGCCTCTTTTAGTCCTTACTAGTGAATAATTCAGTAGTACACGCTACAACTTTCGCAGGATCAGCTGGTAGCACAAGCTACACATCAGGTGGTAGCCAATTTGTAACAGTTTATTATCAATTTTGAATTGAGGCGTAGTCTTGTTTTTTATTTAGCTTGAAGAGAGTTGAAAAGAAAAAAACAATTTAAATAATTAAGGCCTATATTTATTAATAAGTAAATATATGGCATTGTTTATATTATTATATAGCTTATTATTTATTATTATGGGCACTTTTTTGTTTTAAAGACTGATATTTTATAATATAAGTTAAATTTGACGTATAGAGAGTTACTATAAGCTTGGTCGAGCCCAGCTGTAATTAGTTAAAATAGCTTGATTTGTTGAAAATTATGACAGCAGGTAGGTGTCAGATAAGAACTTAATTTTTATAATTATGTTAAGGTATTTTAGATAATTATAAATTTATTTTATTGACGGCTTAAAAGAATTTTTGAAGTTGGGCAATTAATCAATGCGCTATTTAGCAGACCGACCATTGTCACTGATGCCTCGTATAGACTTCGCTGCCACAACTTGGTCTCTACCAGGTGGCTCAACCGACGATTTCTGCCGCCCTACCTCGTATACAGAACTAGGAAATGAACCCATTGCCGCGTTATCCGAAGCTACCCCAATACAGCAGGAACAAATTAAACTACTGGTTGAGAAATACATAACACCTCCCAGTGGCCATCCTGCTGTCACTAATCTGGTAGAACACACCATAGACGTCCAAGGTCATGCACCCATTAAACAACGTCATCACATAGTCTCTAAACCAGTTGAGGAGTGCATGAACGAACAGCTCGACGAGCTTATCGATAAAGGTTACGTAGTCAAATCATCCAGTCCTTGGTCAAGTCCCGTAGTAATGGTACGTAAGCCTAACAACAAATGGCGTTTTGGCATCGATTTCCGTAAAATCAACGCCATTACCAAGAAAGATGCCTACCCTCTTCCCTTTATGGAAAGCATCCTTTGTAAACTCCAGTCAGCGCGTTATATAAGTACTATTGATCTACGTAACGCATACCATCAGGTGCCTCTTGCTAAAGATAGTCAGGAAATCACAGCCTTTACTGTACCTGGCCAAGGCTTACACCATTATGTGGTCATGCCGTACGGTCTCACGAACGCGCCAGCTGCTTTCCAACGTCTCATGGATACTCTAATAACCACAGACTTGGAACCCTACGTTTTTCCATACCTAGATGACCTCATTATAGTCACAACTACCTTCGAGAAACACCTAGAGATCCTAGAAACATTACTAGTTAAAATCTCTGAAGCAAATCTCGAAGTTAACCTGGAAACATGTGAATTTTGTCGTCCTTCGGTCCGTTATCTGGGCTACCGACTAACTCAAGACGGCCTAACCCCAGATAAGGAAAAAGTAATGCCTATTTTAAAATTTCCTGCACCCTGTAATCTTAAAGAGTTACGCAGAATAATAGGCATGACTTCATAAAACATACAACTAACCCGATCTACCATCCCCAAGCCAATTTAGTATAGCGAACTAATAGAGTAGTAAAATCTATGATAACGGCTTTCATTGAGGACACTCAAAAAGACTGGAACCGTTTTCTACCCCAATTTCGTCTAGCACTCAACTCAGCCGTACATAGTTCTCACCCGCGTCTCACCCGCCCTACTAAATTTTGGTCGTGATCTTCGCCTGACGGACAATTCCATAATATGCAACCCCGAAGCAACTACGGTACTTAACCCTATCCAAAATTAGATATTGCGTCTAACAAATTAAATAACCTACACGACTCTGTCGTACGTAATTTAGACATTGCCCTAGAACGACAAGCTAAATACTTCAATAAATCACGGCGACAGATCTCGTACAAATTAGGTGATCGCGTTTGGCGCAAACAGCGCATACTATCTTCGGCGATAAATAATATTAACGCAAAATTGGAACCTAAGTTCGACGCGGACTGATAGATACATAAAATACAGTCACCAACCGTATACGTTGTTACAGATGCCTCGGGTAGAAAACACGTTAAAGTAAACGTTAACGACCTGAAACCATACACTATGCCATAGATGGAGTCCCAGAGTAACGACACCGGTGCCGTCCACACAACCAGTGCCATTACGGCAACCAGCGCCGCAGTCGCCACCAATCCCCGCGGCCTCAATAACTCATCCGCCTTCATCATCGAGCCGCAAAGTGGTATATAACCTGGTGGGGGATAGGTGGGTGCTCCAGCCGCACTCACCACCACCAGTGTGACAACCGCCATCTTCCGAGCCGGTGGCAAGAGCCCTGCCGGAGCAATCCAGGGGCCATTTCTCGGGACGCAGACCCACAGCACGTTCCTGCTGGAACTGTTGGGACTTGTTCCATCAGTACCCCGACTGCCCCAATCCCCGCACCCGCTTCTGACACCGCTGCG